GGGGAAAGCTCTTGTTTGTGTTTTTGCTCCAGCTTTTAAGGATGAAAATGTTGTGTCTGACGCATGTCAGCAAGCAGAGGAGATTTACTAGCACGGCTGGGTTTGTCTTGCTCCCCTGTGATGAATAAAAGCATTAACCGTCTCTCACTTCAGGAGGAGAAGGGGGGCTGTTTTCAGCCTGCGAGAAGTGAGAAGGCTTTGTCAGGTTTGGGTCAGGCAGAGCACAGGGCTGCGTGCTGCTCACAGGGCGGACAGCCGGGTGTCACACGGCAGCCTGCAGGCACCTCGGAAAGGCAGGAGGCAGCAGTGTGTGTTTGTGCGTGAGGGTGTGGGGGCAAGGCTGCCGTGTCTTGTTTTGCTGCAAGGCTGTTTGCTACAACAACGATCCCTCTGGAAAGCAGTCTCAGAAAGACGGATTGAATAAAGAGCAGAGAGAGAAATGGCCGTTTCCACACTCCCTGTGCAGTTGTCTGAACTGTTACAAGCATTGCTTAACAAGATGCCTGCCCGGTTGTGATCCCAGGCTGGTACGTATGAGGCCTGATCCTGTGGTCAAATGTATCCAGTGGAGCTGGTGTCAGCGGAGCCATGTAACTACATAGCTGAAAAGGATGGGGGGGAGAAGAAAGGTTCCCCTTTGTTCTGTTTATTTCTGTTTCTTCTGCAACGCGGTTACATCTATTTTGATGCTTTGCAATTCTCAGGTTTATTTCAATCACGGCTGCTTTAGTGAATCACACGAAGCATGGAGGAGGAAAATATGAAGGGAATTGCCAAGTTTAAAGTTGGGTCAAGCTTTGGCAACATACACACCTGAGACCAGAAGACGTAGTGTATATTAATAAAAATGTGTTGTACTGACTCATCACTTCAAAATTTCAGCCATATTTCAATATAGCTGTGTATCTGTGGAGTACATGTCACCAAAACAGGTGTAGAACCATATCATGTGATAAAGAAACAGTAGAGCTTGGAAGAGAGACCTGGTCAGCTGGCTCACAATGAAATCTATAAAAATGTGTATCTGTTATTATAACTTTCTAGCTTAGTGATGCAATCCTTTCACTCCATTCCAAAGCAGTTAAGTGAAACTGGAGAATCCTTAAAGTTGTAGGTTGATTCATTATTGTAATAAGCATGCAATGGCTGCGGATTTAAAGATCCTGTAACACAGAATGAATTCAGACCAAACCCTCGCAACTTCAGCTGGGTAAACTTAAACACAGGAACACAGAATGGCCCCAGTTGGAAGGGACCTCAAGGATCACGAATCTCCAACCCTCTGCCGCAGGCAGGGCCACCAACCTCCCTATTTAATACTAGACCAGCTTGCCCAGGGCAATGGGAGAAATGTATGAAAAACTTGGAGAGTTTTCTCAGTTTGTTAACAGGAAATGCAGAACTTTTAGATAATTCCTACTGAAAAGAAGGAATTTTTCACTCCTGGGTGAAAAATGATTAATTTTTTCTCAGTTGTCCTCAAAATCCTTAGCTTTTTGTTATCATTGCAAATCAGGAACAATAAACTTAAAAGATATAAAAGGCAGGACAGGTAATTATCCTCATAGTTACTCTCTAAAAAAGAAATTTTAATGCATAGTGCTATAGTGCACCTAGCATAACATAACGTGTAACCTCTCTTAGGTATTTCTGAAGAGGAGGAAGCACGCTTACTTCAAGCTCAGTTTTTTCAGATGCTCTCACTTCTTACAAAAGAAATAATGTGCCAAGCGGTAACAACCAGGCTTTGATCTACAATTTCCTGTGCTGTTGCTAAACACAGTGAATTTTTTGTACTTGTAGAAAGTTTACTAAGGCTGTGTTATGTTACTTTTGAGATCAGTGTACTGACTTAGGAATAAAAAAAAAAGAATCAAAGGCTGGAAAAATCTGACACTGGGGATCAGAAGCGATGATGCTTCTTGCTAACCTGCTTTACAACCTTTGGAAGTGGCAGCGTTCTAAAGAATAGATTGCCTCGTGTCCAGCAAGAGTTTTGTGTGTTGTAGCTGCGTATCCTTAAGCAAATAGGAATTAAAATGAACCTGTTGTGTTTACTTTTATGTCTGATCCCATCTGATCCTTCTCTGAGCATCTGCTGCCTCCCCAAGCACTGCCTGCAAGCCGCTGTTACGTGGCGGCCAGCTGAAGGCAGCCCATGAGCAGTAGAGGGGAAAAGACACGTGCTTCAGAACACTCTTCATACAACCCCCCGTTCCTCTGCATACTTTGTTCTGGGTGTTCAGTGGCATGCCTGCCTTGGGAGAGTTTTGAATGTTTCATGCTCTGTAAGGGTATATAAAACAGTGCTCAGACTGATAAGTGTATCTTACTGTAGAAGTGACAGCATGCTAAGAGTTTTGGCTCTGAGATGAAAAGCTGCCCTGTGGTACTGTTCAGGTTATATCAGAGAATTTTCTGTTAGAAACCTTTATGAAAATAAATCCACCGCTGAGATGTACAAGAAAGAATGGTCTTCTAATCTCCTTGTTCTTTGTAACATAGCAAGTGTTGAGATGAAACCCTAAGATCAAAAATATCGCCAAGTCATCTCATCAAAACAAGGTCCTTTTCCAGAGTTCTGTTTTGCTGGTGCAACATGAATCAGATGTTAGCAATTTCTTTGTTAGCTCTGGAAAGTTTCTGGTTTTGTTTTGAACGCTGCTTTATGGCTTGTCCTTCCCATGTCCGATAGAGCAGATCAAAGGAGTAGCATTTTTTACACTGAACCCAATCAGTGTCACAGCACGATGGTATCATTTTCCAGTACAGCTCAGTTTATTACACTATAGTCCTGTGGAATTATTTGACAAGCTTTCAACCAGTTAAATAACAGTTTGATGGGATGTGAAAACCACAGGAGCCAGGAAGGAGGTAACAGTCTGTGGGCAGGCCTTATCTGTCCTGCTGCAATGACACTTAGGGTTTTGCATTTAGAAACCTAATGCAAGGAGTGACCTGGCCTGGGCTTCATGTGGGAGTAGAGGTTTTGGTCTGGTTGATAATGACTAGTGTTTGGTGCTCTGTAGAATGTGGAAGAAACCACAAAGAATCCTTCACTGAAGGAAATGATACATGTGAATGGGGAGCCTTATGTCTCCAAAAAGGAAAAAAAATATAAAAAAAAAAATAAAAAAATCATATTCTTGGTTGTGTAAAGCAAGTGATCTCAGAATGAAATGCAGGCTGCAGAGAGGCCAGCAGCAGGAACTGATGGTAACTTCTGTACAGACGTGGGACCAGAGTGGTCATCTGTGAGGACAGCTGAGGAATGGGACTTTGTAGAAACGTCCCATGTAAAAGAGCAATTAGTTACTGTCTAAGTGGCCACTCTTTGCAGCAGCAAAATCAATTGGCTGTGATTGTAATTTGATTAGTGTGACTTGCACAGAATCACTATTTCACTATCATCTAATCAAAAATCTTCACTCTGATTCAAACTGCATTTTAAATAAATACGAGTCTTTCAAATTTGAGCTCTCTGTAAAATATCTTGTATTAATTAAATTATAAATAGCAAGAGCCAGTTGTATGCCAGTTCTAACAATACAGAGAAGAATGCACTGTGAAGGAAAAGGTTTTCTTGCCACCCAGTGATGTGGCTGATAAAGCAAGCAAGTGCTTATGAGAAAAATAATTCTGATTTCATAGTTCTTCAACTTAAATACAATTGTAACTCAAGTCCCTACTATTATTTCATCACACATCCACAGTCAAAAAGATGCGTGGCTGATTTCATGTACTGCTGTTGATTGTGCACAAAATACACCAGTATTTTTGCATATAGAATTCTGAAAGCGAACTCTGTAGTTTCTCTTTAAAAACAGCGTGATAGCGAGGAACTAATTGAACTGAAAGTGCAGTCAGAAGACAAGATGGCTTCAGCTCTCTGAAAAATGTGAGTCAGCTAAGGAGGAATTGCTGTTTCACTTTGCTGATGTGAGCCGCAGGCCACCAAAAGCGTGATGAATGTCTACATTAAATGAAGCTTACACTGAAGCATAGAAGACAAAGAAATATCATCTCGTTTTCAAATTTTGGCTAAATATAATCCATGTAACATTTTATGCATGTTTAGAAACATCTCTTTCTGCTCCGATTGTATGGGAGCATAGGAGGCGTAGGCATTTGTATAGGATTACATTTCTCCCAACTTTTGCTGCATTTTTTAAAGTGATTTAATTTTGTTATGAAGCCTTTCCCCCACGATGTGCACTGAATTTACTAACACCACCCCGACCTTGGAAATAGTGTGATATTTTACAGTATGCAGTGACATTTATGTGTGCAACTTGGCTCCAAAAAATAGGTTAATTTCCAGAAATGAGATGCCAGGTTTAAACCTTACAAGATGATTTAATGATCCTGGATCAGCAAGTTGGGTTCACGACTGAGGCAGCTGACTGGGCAGTACATTGTCAGTTGCAAATCTAAAACTACTTCACACATTTTTTAGGTACAAAAGATCAAATTAAATGTGCTGGGAAAAGAAAGGTTTCTAGTTTGTGTATTCTTGAATACCAAAATCCTAGATGTATGGATCACAGATTTACCCTATAGGAAGTTAAAATTTTAGGCAATAGTGCTTACGCATCCCTCAAATTATCAAAGTATTTCTGGAAGTAAAAGTACCATAAATGATAGAAAGTATAGTAAAAAAACAAAACAAAACAACAAACACCACTCCGTTGTTCATACAGAGGCAATACTCAGACACTGGAAATAAGATTCAGAAATGCCCAATGATAGGTGGTGGACAAGGAGCTTATTTGGGCTTCCAAAATCAGAGACTCGTATGGAGTTGGTTTTCAGTTCACACAAACATCTACTGGATATTAGATGCCAGCTCTGGACCTTTAATGTAACATTTTAAAACTGTGGTTGTGAAGCTCCCCTTTCATTTTGCTGGAATTCATGTAATTTTATTGCTACCAAATTACATATTAATGTTACAATACCTGTTTATCTAAATCAAACAAGAATAAAAGGATCTATACATGACCTTAAAACAAGCTGAGGAACCATCTTATATATACAGACACACACTTATATTTATATAAATATAGAAACATAGCAATGACAAGAAAGCACTTAAAATTGAAAAATGATGTAAAATATAATTATCTTGCTTTTTCATTGAACAGTTTAACGTGTATACTTAGTAGCTAAAGTGCAATTTAGTTTAAATTTCCAGTGTCTGATTCCAAGTAATTCTTTATTCTGCTTTTTAAGTCTGAAGTTAGTTCTGCTGTGTATTCTCATTCTTTGGTAATCTTTCCAAAGGATATGATTCACTTCTCCATTATTTGTAAAGAATATGGAAAAAGTAAAACACAGTTATTTTGTGGGCACTTGGAACTGGATGTAAAAAAAGTAGGTGGGCTGTTGATCACTGTGAGTCATTCCTTGGGAAGAGGGAGAGAACAAACGCTAGCTGCTGACCTACTGCTATGAAAGCCAAGGGCTCGGTGCTGACTCAAGTACAAATTGATTGCTGCAGAAAACAACGGAGATCTAGCAGCAGGATTACAGAGGAAAGCCTTTTCTCCCTAAGTAATAAGGAGTACTAAGAATTGCCTGTATGGATTTCTCGGAGTCTGTTACTTGTTTCAATAGTCGTGTATTTTGAATGTTAAGTATTAGTTAACTAGAACTAGAATCTGCAAACAGCACCTAAATGAGGCTCCTTCTGAGTTTTCAGAAGTCCTGGCAAATCTGCAGGTGGGTGATGAAGTGCAGGGCTGAGCCCTCCAACACCGAGAGAGCTGCACCAGTAGCTCCCAGTGCAATCCCTTACTGTTAATGAATGTGTTTAATGTAAAGTGTAGTTTGCAAGACTGTAACACAAGAGAACAAATACTACAGATTTCAGAAACAATCTATTGTGTGTAAACAGGTATTCGTGTGGTTTGCTGTTAACGCATCCCTCTTATCTCCATTTGCTTTGCTAAAATCATAGCGGTAAGAGTTGAACAGCATCCAAGGGAACAACGTGTCCATTCTAAACCAAACGTCTCGGATTCCTCATCGCTTCCAGGAGGAAGCAATTCATACAGCTTCATCTGAGAGCGCGAGGCAGGAGTGACCCAGTGCTGATCTGATCCTCGTTCAGATTTTTGATTGACTTAATGGCAGGTGACGGTTGGGAAATATATTTTATTTTCTCTCTCCATGCTGTATTGTACTGTGCTGTGTGGTTGCTATGCTGCTGTGTTTGGTAAACAGGATACAGGTGAGATTCCACAAGCTGCCAAACCTAAGTGCTGCGTGACAAACCTTCCTACCAAAGAGTATTTGATAAACTGAGGAACGCCTGCTGGGTTATTCAAGAAACTGCTGTGTTGTTCGTGTGTTTATTTTTGTTTCTACACAAATATTTCTGAAAATAGGCCCGCCATAAGAAGTGATTTGATAACACATTGTCTTTTTTATACAAAACGTGTTAAATGATGTATGAAGATGAATGCATTTAGAAATTTTCAGTGCAAGAAAATACTTGAAGGCCAATTTAGCTTTTCCCTCTCTCTCTCTCTTTTTTTTTTTTTTAAATGAAGTAACTTAGACTTCAGCAGTCTGTTTCTGAGTTCATACCAGTCCTGGTTGATATAAACACTGGTATAAAAAACCTGCAGCAACATAAATACTTGGTAGCATATTTTTGTTTTGAAACTTATGCTTAGAAACTTATATTCTGAACAACAAAAAACACTTTTGATACCAAAACTGCTTTTAGAAAGTGACTTCATTTTACAGAATGGCCTTTGACAGCTTTACTTAAACCAATCAGGCAGCTCCATTGGAAACTAGGCAACTCTGAAGCAGTATTCACAGCCTGAATGCTACAGGTTCCAAAAACTCTGCAACAAGCAAAATGCTGCACTGTGATGTTCACACATTGCCACAGAGATTGTGGGTGCTTATATGGGTGTTTAACAATCCACTAGTGAACGTTAACTTTGGAATGCAAGTGCTTCTATGTGCCTACTTGTTATTTCCTACTGTCAGTCGGAGGGCTCACGTGGCCAGTTCAGATCCTTGAAGAAGGCGCCTTTGCAGCTCTGGATTTGAAAACAACGTTCAAGTTGGAGCTCTGGAACAGCTGATCTCCAGCCAATGAATCCCTGGGAAGTCCTGGGAACTGGAGGAGATGGATTCACCTAGAATAGAAGTAAAACGTAGAATTCAATGATTCAAAGGGTTTTGTTGGTAATTTCTGTCACACAACATGTGCTCCATTGTGGATGGAAATGAGAATGTATAAAAATAGTGAGTTTAAATGCATTCTGATTAATTAATATCCTGAACACACACTGACACTTATGGAAGATTGCCTAGTTGCATGCAAGTTTGATTTATAATACAGGATGGTTCATAATATAAAGTCATTAGGATCACTTAGGTCCCATTCTGTAGCAAGGCACAGGGGAAGAGAGAAGTTAAATGGACAAATTCCAGTGAAGTAACTAACTTTCATTTACCATTCTTTATAAAAGTACTTTTGTGCCTCGACTGGTACATATAACAGGAAATCAAAACTCAAAATTATCAGTCAGTAGTACATATTATACATTTTCTTCATATACACAGTTTTGTTCAATATATTTCTAAGGGCTTTAAGTTATTAGAAGGATTTATTCTTTACCTTTAACAGTAATCTTTAAGCTACTTGCCTTCTCTAAACAGGAAAAACAGCACTTTATACTTGCTGCAGTGTTTTTGGTAGCAATGCTGCCATGGAATAACAATTCTATGGCCAAATGCTAAAGATATCACTGACCAAGCTGGCTTCTATGTCCAGAAGTACTCATCCGTTCCACTTTCTACTTTAAAAGATGGGTAAGCATCAAGTTAATCTGCAACTAATCTTGCTAAAAAGGAAACAAAGCAAACGCCAGCAGCCTCTGTTCAGTGACTGCTGTGCTTGCTTTGGCTGAATCATCTCAGTTGGGCACTTACATGGTTTTATCATCTGGGGACTTAATAGAGAAACACGCAGTAAGAGAACAATGTTTCAGTTCTCTTGCCAGAGTTACTTCACTTTGTTCTTTGGCCAAGACTAGAAATGTTTATGATATTTAGGTGGAGCAGTTCCTCCGAAAAGATAATTTTTATGGCCAGAAGTGCCACCCACCAAGCAGGATAATAAAGGAAATCATTTCCCACTTATGATCTGGGGGAAGGGACTATGAAGAAGCATGAATCCAACCTAGAGAGAAGAACAGATATGATGATTGTTACCATGAAGGGGAATGTGCAGAAGACACATCTCATGGTGTAGGAAAGGCAAACCTGAATGATTGAAATTGGATGCTTGGGACAAACAGCAGAACAAGCAGCTCTAACGGCAGAAGTGCTGCCATTTCATTTCTGTCACTCTCAGCACTTGCTCTTTTGTTCAGTTTAGTCTCAGTAGAAGTACTCACCTTATCTTACCACCCTTGGAATCCCTTGAAATTTAGGTCAACAAGTAGGAATTTTCAGTCTTTTTTGTTTCCTTAATCTTCTCAGAGCGGACTACCCTTGCTTTTAGTTGGCATGTTCTGCCTCTCCTTTTCTGAGTGGGTTCCTCTCCCATTGTAGGTGATCTAGCTCTATGGTTATTCTATTTGGTGGTGATTTGGATGCTGTATATTTATAAATCAAACTCGTTGACTCATTAGAACTCGCTTCTCCCAGCTGATCTAATTTGTGCCACTAAAAGAACAGAGGCAGTGTCTGTGCCAAAAATAATGCTTGCACAAAGCTAGAAAAAATGGCCACGTCTTAACCACTAGCTAAAATTGAGAGATGAGGCTATGCTAAGCCTTGAAGTAAGGCATGTGCGTGTATATCTGAACAATGACTGCTCAGCAGTTGTAAATGGGTCTGGGCGTTCTTCTATAATAAACCATCCAGCTGACTGTTCTGTTACTCGATGTCACAGAGAACGGGGATGTGCTTTATGGAACGATGATTTCACACACAAAGCTCTGTGAACTAACAACCACATCCAAAGGGCAATTCCTTGTTTTAAATGAGTGCTTTTAAAGCATTGCTTGGGCCACTAATACAATTTACTCTGACCTTTAGCTAAAAGCCCACCTTTACATGTCAACTGATTTTAGGGCTTGGGTGGTCTCTTCAGACAGGCATTGCTGCACTGCAATCTCAGAATCTAATTTCTAACCTTAATATATTTTTCCACAGGTGTCACAGGTCGGATCCGCAGATGCTCTGGGAGCTGTATCTTGGGCTTTGTTTTTTCTTTCTTTTCATCTTCAGTCAACTGAAATAAAAACATCAGCATTAAAAAAATGGGCTCTGATATCTATCCCATTAACCCGACTGTTGCATCTGTTCTCTCTGGTTTTTCCACTAAAAAGAGAAGCACACATTGTAGTGTTTTGGAAATTGGTGTTGTAACTTTTTTTTTTTTTCCCCAGAAAGTGATATAAATTTGAATTTCAGGTGAAAGGCAAAATCCTGCTGAGTGACTCAACTCTCTTAATTGCACCAGTTGTCCAGAAAGGGCTAGAAATATATCTGATGTACCTTCTATGACCACAAGGCAAAGACTAAGTTCACCAATAAGAACACATTGAGTTTGTCAGCTTTTCTGCTAGCCGTGTATCTATCAGCACTGTGCAAAGGTGGTGTGTATGGCAAACAGTGGTTATCAGAGATGGATGCTGAAGCTCAGAGGACAAAATGTTTCAGAGGTGCTGACGTGGATGCCTACAGCAATGTTCCAACATCCTGCAATGGATGCAGTGCTTCCAGCTGCACGTAGGGTAAATGGACGGCTGCATTCAGGGCCTGCACTGATCTGCTCTTTAGCAATGAAAGATCATGATTCCAAGCTAACATCATGCGATGCTATATCTCATATCTAAACATCGGTGAGAAGAGACACCTCTTCAAATATTTTAGTTCACTGTAAATTTCTCCACTGAAATTTTAATTAGCCAGAACCTTTCCCCCTTGGTTTTTAATGTACCATATGGATAGACAAAGGGGAAATGTTTTCCTGTCAGTGTGCATCTCGTACTTGTTAGCACTGCTGGGAGCCGTGTTTCTCAGGAGAAATACATCAGGATGTGCGTGGCATATCAATGACTGCTGCACTGCATTCGGAGGAAAGCCGGAACCCTCAGCCCACCTTTAAAGGTGCTGCGTTTGCAAACTGAGAACCTGGCTTAGCAAAGCGTGCACAGCACCTCTCTGCGTGCTCACTGCTGTGCCACCGGGCCTCACCTCGCCCAGCACCGCCCTGTTTTACCTCCTCAAGAGCTGTTTTCAAAAATCCCCACTTGTGAGACCATCTTCTTGCAGTTTCAAGTTCACTTTCAACGTATCGTTTCCTGAAATGGAGAAACGCGTGAGAAGACTCGGAGAGCTATATTCTAAAGGCACAAACCAACGAGCCCAACGAGTGATAAAAAGCACTTCAGCCCTCCGCCTCAGAGCAGCGCGTCTACCGCTGTGCTGACGCTCCCTGATGGAAATAACGGGAACTTTTTCCAACGGCGAGGAGAGGAGACAACGCACGTGAACGCAGCTCCTCGCAGGTGTTTGTGCGACACCTGCAAACTGCAGCCCCGAGCTGCCCGCCTTCCCCTGCCCGCCCAAAGCTCTGCGCCCTCGTGCCCGTGAAACGAAAGCACGAGCGAGCTCCTCCCGCCTCTGCCGAGCGGAGGCTGCGAGCAGAGCAGAGGGAGCACAAAACGAGGGGCTGTGCGGGTCGCTACCAGCTGCTGTCCTCAGCCACGGCGCTGCGCGGCTCTGCCATCTCCGTGCCGGGCGGGGCCGCGCGCTGCGGCCGTTGCGGGGCGATGAGCGCGTGGCCGGGGCACGGAGCGGCTTTCGCGTGCGCTGCTCCGTCCTGCGCTCTGCACAGAGAGCGCTGCTCCTCCAGCGGTTGGATAACCCGCCTGGCGCAGGTGAAGGGCTGCTGACACCCGCCGCTTCGTAACGCGGGGATGGGGTGTTGTTTCTGCAGTTGGTATTAAGAAGAGCAATTGGGTTGAAGAAGTAGGGTGTAATGCATTTGTGTTCTGTAGCTTATCCTTAGAAATGGTTGGTCTAAGAAGTAAAATACTGTATACGTTAGCGGCGTGTTTTAGAAACGTTATTACTGAATTATGTGATTAATTCTTTCTTGCAAAACTGGAATAGTTGTTAAATGTTCCGAACAATGCGAGTATAGTGATTAGAAAACATCGTAGAGCTGTTCTGTTAGGATAAGAAACTCCCAGCAAAAGCAAGGCAGATTTAGCAAACACCAAAGAAGTCAGGGCCTCTACACAAGGCGGGACTGCCTCACTCCATGAGAAGGCTGTGGTGTGAAGGCAGGCACCAGGACGCTCCCCTCTCTCCCAAGCTGATTTTTGTAGAAAGAAGGACAAGCAGATATCTGCAAAATAATGATCAGGTGTGGAATAAGTTAATTAATTAACTACAGATTTACACTTACGGAGCAAAAATTTACGTTTGTCCAGTGTTTGCATGTTTAGTGAAGTGTCGAGGAGATTGTGAAGTTAAAGTACTCAGCCAATGAGGAACCAGGGGAGTAAGAGAGAAGCGTCAGGGAATAGGGAATAAAAGAGGTAACTCTGTTTTCTGGGAGCTCTCCTGCTTGCAGGAGGCCCGCCATTGCAATAGCGAATAAAATCTGCTTTATCAGAGATACCGTCCTAGCAAATTATTTGGATATTTTCTACACTAAGGAGAGCTCGTGCTCCATCGTTTTCATTTGTTTTTTGGACGCTGTTTGCTAGGATTATCCATCAGAGCAGAGCAGGTGACAAGTGTTTCAGGGCAGGAGGTGTTTGCTGAGCTCTAGCTGGGCGGAATTGCCCCCCCGCAGTGCCGCCCCTGGGCAGAGCTCCGCCACTTTACGACTCTCCAATGCAAACCCCAACTGTGTGCAGTTTGTAACAAGTTCACATTGTTTTGACACTTTTTTTTTTTTTTTTCCCTCCTTTTTTCCTCCTCCTTCAGCTCCTTTAGAAATCGAAATTTAGGAATTTAGGATTTGCACGGTGAAAGCGGCCCCTGTTGGAGCAAGGGGTTGAAGTAATTCCCCCCCCCCTTCATAGAAGCTGGTTTGTAGTAACGCTGCAAATCGTTTTTCCAGCTGTTGGACGCTTATTGTCATTATAATATAAATGCAGACACACTCTGACCTCAGCCGGGTGCTTTATAGGTAGTGCCTTTGGATGCTTATTTGCTATTTATTCTTTATTGTTGAGTAGAGTATCTAAAAGTCTTGCATATTTGCACATGAGAAGGCTGTAAGTGTTTTATGCCCTCATGTAGGTACACCGAGAACTTCCATTTGAATTAGAGGGAAGGAAGGCACTCTGCAGCCCTAAAACAGCAATTGATGCAGCTCTCTAAAAATCAAACCCTCAACAAATGCAATATTTCACTTATGTGCCGTTTCTTGGTTCTCTGTTTGATAATTAGCCTGGCAATTAGATCAGCTGGGCCTGCTATCACACCCATAACTGCTTACTCATTGTCCTATTTAATTAACCCCTGCTGCTTAGTCACAGTTATCTCGGGAGGCCTCTTATTACAGACTAGATGTTTTCTGTGAGAGAAGTAATTTGTTAATGAAAGCAATCAAATTCATATATATACGTAAAATGATGTATCAGGGTTTAATCTACAGTAGCATTTGTCAGGAGGGAATGAAACTTCATACTAATTTAGTGAAAATAGAACCTAATAATGTTCTGTGTTTCTCTTTTGGTATTTAACTGATAATCTTTTAGAGGAGGGGATGTGAGGAGGTGAGCCATCAGCCTGAGCTGTCATTTGGTTCTTCTGAGCATGGAATGATGTTAGAAAACTTGCAGTATGGGGAAGCAAAGTGAGATAGGAGTTAAATAAGGTCATTTATGGAAAGTCTACGTCTTGTAGTTACGTACAACAGCATTTGTCAGCACGTGACAAATGAAGTAAGTAATGGGTAGATACATGTTTAAGGTGCATGTTTGAACATGGTCTAACGAGGAAATGAGATGATTTGACCCACGCTCTTTTGGGTGATTCTACAAATGCTGCCAGCAGCATGAGACAGGGCAGTGATGGAGGGCTTGGTGAATGTGCTGGATGTTACTGCTGGGTCTGTTTACAACACTGTAGCTTTGGAACGTTGTGTTGGTAGGGGTCGAGGTGGTACTGCTCTCTGAAATAGATTAGAGAACCAAAGTGATTGAAATAGGCTCCTCAATAAGGGGAAATGAGGTCACTGATCTACTGTGTTTCACAAAACAGCTCCATGAATGGTTGTGTTTCTGCAATCAAAACAACGGACAGAACGGAGGCAGTAGAGGGTGATGCATGAGCCAAGATGAGCAACCAAGGGTAGGTGGATCTTTTTATCACACAAGACTTTATATAAAGCAGTGGTGGCTTTGCTTATGTCATTATTGGTCTTCGAAAGGAGTTAAGACTTTCTGGGAATTTTATATGTCTACACTGATGAAAATGTGAAAGCTTTTTATATTGGTTGTTCATGGAAAAATGTGCAAACTAGCATACAGTAGCTGTGCTAATCTTTGAAACTGCTTGGAAGGAGCAAACCTTTTCTCTTTCAGGCTCTAAGTTTATGAGCACCTCAACTTCCACTGAATGAACTGAGAGTGATTCTAGATCATACTTGTGCTCAGGTTCTGTAGGTGCAGGTATAAGGCACCTTATGTTTGACAGCACTCTAAACCAGCTCTTCTGTAATGTTCAGTTCTGGTTACAAGCCCTAAATCATGGGCCTAATTCCAGCATTACGTTATCAACTACATCAACTGTGCCTGCTATTCTTGTCAGTAGAGATAAGAATCCTCTGCTTCTCATTGGAACTGGGGAGGAAAACAAAAGAAAGAGGTTTTTTTTGTTGTTGCAAAGAGTATTTTGAGTGTTTTTATATTTTCTACTACATAAACAAAACTGCTACTCTATGATATTCAGTGCAGAGCTGTAATTAGATCTAAACCCTTGATCTCTTTAATAAGAGCTCTGCATTGTAAATTTACCAGGAAAAAGTACAGCTGAGGATCCTCTCTGAGAATCATGAGATAAAAGCTATTGCTAGTTTACTGTTTTACTCCTCTGTGTACATGCAAGGTAAGTGTAGATAGAGGTGGCTGGGGATCAGCTAGCAGGACAGTTCCTGAGAAATGAATCTGCTTGTTTCCCTTTGAGGAGCTCTTAGCACTGTAAGGACTGTCTCAACTTTTGGTTGAGTACCGCACACTCAGGTGTGCAGTAACGTGGAAGTGCTCAGAGATTCTTCCAGCCCTGTTCTCCTCCTGTGCTCTTCTAACAGTGCACTTCATCATAAACTGCAGTACCTGTCACCGTGAAGGCAACAATACAGATGATAAAGTAAGACTTTCTTTCCCCTTTGTGATCTGAAAGTTTATGAGTTGAGGAGTATTGTCACTAAGCAAGGCTTTGAGCAGGGTGCTTGTTTCCTGAGTGCTTCTGAAATAAACTAACAACTGCAAAGATGCAGTATAACAGGAATGTTTCTTAGGAAGAGGTGGGTGTTGCTGTTGTAATTCTCTCTGCATGGGACAGCTATGGCATAGGGGGCTCTGCAGCTTCTATCTCATCATGTCCTGCTGGAGTACAAGTTTACGACTGCTGTTTTCTATCTGAGAAATTCAGACAGTGCAGTATAGTAACGTGTAATGAAAAACACGTGTTAGTGATTTGAGGAATTGTCTCAGGGCTGTGCCACTAACTTGGATGTGACCAGTAAGCCCTGTGCACTCCCAGTGTGATATGGCTGCTGCTGTACATCTGGTGGTTCTGTAGGGCAACTGTCTGACTGGGCTGCTTGGCTGGAAGGTGCAAATAATCTGCCCAGATGTGAGATAAAACAGCAAGGGAAAGAAGAATGCTAATATTCCCAAGGAAACCTGCAGTGCTGTATGCCAGCCCATGCTCTATGGCTTTATTTGTTAAGGGCTGTGCTGCTCACTATAAGCACTGCTGTCTTTGCATCCATCTAAAAACCTGAAAGGCATTATTTTCTTCAGCTACGTGCTAGCTGTTACCACTCCTCCTCAGAGGTGAAGCCTCTGAAGATGAAGATGGATGTTGAAGTGTATTTAAATCCATACACAAATCTATACTTCCACACTTGCATTGAAAATGTTTACAAAAAAATGTTGATTAGTATTGGTAGTTCTGTACTTGTTGCCTCATGTTGCTTTTTACAGCACTGAGTGTGGAAGCCAAACAGAAGAGATCAGTGAAAGACTCCAGCTATTTTTACAGTGCTTCTGGATCATATCTCCGATGTAGGCTGCTGAGTGGCAGACTGCTTTGTTAGGATGCTGTGATTTCTTTTAAGTAAACTAAGTCCTATTGAGACTATGAACTCTGACTTCATCCAAGAACAAAACTGAACCAACCAAACAAAAAAGCCCCGAACAGCAATGAAACAATAATTAAAAACGCAACAAAAAAGAACCCTGCTGAAGTCTATCACATCAAGGAATATGTTAATTAGAGCTCTTGGGTTACCACTCATTAGAGGAATCCATGGTGTGCTAAGAACAATTGTATTCTGTAGCCAAATTTAGAGTGGTCATGATCTTACAGTGGCTGTAATTATCCCACGGCTTTTTGAGCGGTGTCTGGCATTTCTATTATCCCAATTTAAAAATGCTTTCTGTCCATAAAATGTCACAGCTACGGCTCTTTGCAGGTTTCTGTGCATGAGAGGTACGAGCAGCCTTAACTGAGTTCAGATACTTGTCAGTAATTTCTGTTCAATTTGGGTTTGCGAAGATCCATTGCTTTTGTTTGTGCTGTAGCTGTTGGAGTTTGGTTTATGTGCTTCCCAAAGTTGTTTCTATGGTGCCATGGAGGGTTTTTTCACTGTCAAATTGTTGGACGTCAGTTTGGCATCAGAATTCTTGGTTTGGTTACCTCTGAGTTCTGCTCCCCAGCTCCAGTTGCAGAGGCCTTGCAGAACGCTGCCTGGTTACAATTTGAAAGATCACAGAATGTGACCACCACTTCTACCCTTCCCTGAGGGAACAGTTCTTGTCAATGCCTAAGTGCAACGCATACTGAAATTCTCCCCACATATGTGCTGGAGTACCTCAATATAATGTCTATTACAGTGAAGCAAAGAAGACACAATTTAGAATTTTGTTGCATTATATAAACTGAAATCAAACAGTTCACAGTCTTTGGAAGTATTTTTCTCTCAATAGAGTGCATGCTTCAAACCAGAAGAGTTGCCTTTTTTCTTTTTGCATGGAAGGCAGGGGGTCTGAGACATTTTAATAGCTTTCATTTTCAACTCTGCAAAATATATTATTGCAGCACAATAGTTTCTTTGCATGAGAATTGCTTAAATGATTCAAAATGGATTGAAAAATATATTTCAGGTTTTAATTTTATGCACAGAACATTAATGAGCAGTGCCCCTTAGAGACATACTGTCAGTTTAACATATTCACAATAATCTCAACACAGATGTTATTCCATTTAAATCCTTTTAGGGAGAAGGAACTAGCAATTTTTCCTTGGAGAACATCAGAAAATATATTATTGTTAAAATTACATTTTGATCCCAGAATGCTGTGTTAAAATATCGCTGCTAGGATGAATAAGTAGCACATTATTTCAGATGATAAGCCTGTAAAACTTTCCTGAGCCTTCAGTAAATTCTACAAACAAGTGAAAATTCTGTTAGTGCCGCGCAGTTCCGTTTCCCTTGAGGATGACGGTAGGCGATGATGGCTGTGAGCGTCTCATTGTGTTCCAATTTAAGAGGATATTTGTTTTTCCTTCAGAATTCTCTATTTGCAGCTCTAGCATGGTGAAGTTGTCTCTGCCAGATGTATTTTACTGCTCTTTCTCTGAGCACGTGTGTTAGAATACCTGCTTGGAAGAAAGTAGGTATTTAGATTAACTTTTTGTTGGTGTTGGAAGCATTTATAATGCACTTTGTGTTCTGCAATATGCCAGTGCTTTGTTTTTCTGCTTAATGTACTCACACTGTGCTCTGTTCTCTTATATTTTGAGGTATTATTTTGGGAGGGGTAACTCATAGTGATGGTTCTGCTATTTCCCCAGGCTATCAGAGCCCCTCTAGGACCGCACAAATACAAGAATAATTCTTATTTTTGATAATGGGGTGGATAATGTGTCACCAGTTGTTTTTTTCTGAGGGGGGGGCAGTTAGGATGGTGGGGTGGGAGTGCAGTTGATCTGTTATAGAATCAGAACTAAATGTAGGAGTTTTGGCCAAGGCAGGGTTCCAACCCTTTCCTTGTGAAGGGACTCCAGCTCCTGCAGCCATTTTGTGGAGTCTGGCAGCAGTAATAAAGATTGCAGTTTAGAACACATCAAGATCAGTGTTTCAAGGCCGAAAGCTGTTCTATGAGCCTTGATGCAGCACACTGCATGGGAGAATCACTTGCTGAAACTTCAAGGCAGTGCAGTGGAATATTCTTTATGCAGCAGTACTTATTTTG